CTCTCTGATTTCTTCCCAAATGTAGTTGTTCAGCTTTTAATGTAAGGCTCATGATGTAGATACTTCAAAGACACAAAAACTAGTATGTTTTAAATGTTCTTTTTTTTCCCTACAAATGGATGGAATTCCCCTACACATGATGGAATCTATTTTGGGTTTGACTTGAGATGTAGGAAATGTAGAACTGAGTTCTTTTCATTAAATTCTGTTCAAGGAAACCTCTGAATTTTCTTGCCAGCCCTTAGGCCTGCTCTGTTTCCCTCCTGGATTCCAGTGAGGTCTGGTAGCAAATGGTATTTCCAGCAAGGAGATATTCTTGAATGTTGCCTGGTGGTATAAAAATGAACTATTTCTGCTACTGTGGGAGGAGAGAGATTATCATCATCTCAAACACACACATCCACCCCATTTCTCATGGACATTATAAACATATTCTTGTGAATAAAATACTTTGCACTGCGTAGACTGAGAAAAGTTCAACCAGCCAATTTTTAACTTCCAGTTGGTTTGCATCTCCGAGACGAGTCATTCTGTCCCAGGCTGGGCTGTGTAGGCTCTTGAAATAATAGAAATGCTGTAAGATAAGCAGCAGAGCTGATGTCTTGTTTTGGGCATTTTTGTAACACTTATGAATTTAGTTCCTCTAGGAATATGTATATTTAACCTGACATATGCACAACAGACTGGAAGGGGTTGTTTGTTTTTTTTAACTTCTGTAGCTCTTGACTCCTAGAGATAATTTAAGACTATAAGAGTATTGCTTCTTAAACTTTTATTTTTGGAACCTCTTAATCTATTTGTAACAGGGAACAAGGTCATAGAGTCCCTACAAGCTTTATCCTTCTTTCCTGCAAATCTTATTAATGTTCTGGAGCAGAAGCAGCCAGTTATGTCTTAGTCTTGGACATTCTGGTAAGATCCAGAGAGGTGCTAACTATTGTGACAGGGAGACAATGAAATGTAGTGTTAATGTCTCTGCCAGGGCAGGCTTCCAGCTCAGTGACTGCATGCCACAGGCAGTGCAGCATTGGTAATGAAAAGCCCTTTGAACAAGGCAAAAAGTCCCTTAATGTGGTCACCTGTGTTGTACAGTAGCAATAAAGTAGCTGGCAGCTGGTGAAGCTGGCTTTTCCTGTTTGGTGCTTGATTCCAAAAAGAAGCTGATGATCCCAATCTCTCTCAGCAGAGAGAGCCACAGGGCTACGCTGCTGTTCAGGGTCAGGACTTTGATGAGGAAGGATGGCAGGATGAATTCCATGTGGGATGCTGCCCACATTGCCCTATTACGCTCTCAGGCACTCCTGAACTTAGCAAAGCATCCAAAATCCATAGGCAGATACTCGGAACAACAGACTGGATAAAGCACATGGGTAAGCAACAGAGGGAAAGCTGAGAGGAAAGTACAGAAAGCCTTGGATCAGTTTTCAAAAGCATTTGAAAATGCAAAGCTGCTTGAGTTTCATCTAGATATTCTTCTGGAATTTAGTAATAAATTAATAATACAATAATAATTTATAATACAGTATTTCATTTGTTGCCTTCCAGAAAATGTGATGAAAAATAAGGTAGTGTGTGATCACCTAAAAATTATCAATTCTGTTTGACGGTTTGAAGAAAAAAATGGAAACAACCTGGCTATGTGTGTTTTTCAGGGGAATGATACTTCGTCAAGAGGACATTCTTATAAACCAGCTAGATCAACAGATACACAATATAATTAGACTCTTTTTTTAATTAGTAAGTGGCAGATTGGGAGCAGTTACTAACTCAGGTTTGTTCTGGGTCATCAATTGCTCAGTATTTTGCCAGATTATTGAGAGGGGAAAAATAAGATGCTAATTAAATGTGGATTATGCAAATCTAGAAATTTCAAATAATTTGTAAGATATAAGATATGTAAGAAATATAAAGCTAATGTGTTTCAATGATAGATGAGTAAAAATAATTGACTCTGCTATATTTTGTGGAAAAACAGCTTTGTGGTGTGGGAGAGTGGTAGGCATGTATAGACTTGGTTATAAACAAGGATATTTTGACTTCTGGGCAGAGCAGCCAATTATAAAATATTAGGAAAGTAGGGCACACAATGAAGCATTTGCAACAAGGGAGAGCTGCAGGATTTTTGCTGAGGGGACATTTCCAGAAGGAAGGGAATAGAAGAGCCATGTAGGTTGAATGTTACCAAGCACTGAGTCACTGTACCAAGTTACAAAATCATTTTCCCTAGGGAAACCAGATGTAGACTGTGAAAGGTATTCCTTGTAAGTGATCTGTGGGCAAGTTTTGCACACATATGAGGTTCTCCAGGAATGTTTCTGAAGGATTTGGAAATGTGGCTTTCCTAATTTGATGATCTAATTTTATTTACATACATTTATGTATAAAATATATATATACAGGAAAAATAAATAGAAAATTATAATTGCATATTAATTATGTGTAATAATTATAATGAATACCCACATTAACTATAATTAACATATAATGATTGCATAAATAATTATGTATTATATACATAAAACATATAATAATTACATAAAAATGTCTTGAGTGCAGATTCTTTTAACCTAACTTCTGTTGTGAACTGCTAGCAGCTAATATCCTGAAAACCCCTGCTACTGAGTTATTGACATTTGCATAAATCGTTAATCACTCCTCCCACTGGTTCTGCAGCAGCGCTGGGCTGAGCATTGCAGTGCTGTGTACCAGGGCACATGGGAGCTGCTCCTGCTCCACGAGGAACAGCAGGGGGCTGCCCCAGATAGATGAATAGTTCCTTTTTTCTTTCTGTCCAGCAGTACAATCTAACAGACTTGAATGAAATTTTAATTTACACCAAAGCTTCCTGTCTGCGTCTGTAATTTGTGGAGTGACATATCAATGTTGCCTGTCTGTTAACTTTTTGCTTCCCAGCTCTCAAAGAGCTGGGTAGGTGTCCGGTTGTGTTCTTGAGACCCTGACATTTACTTTGCCGTACAAATTAAAAATAGCAGCTGCTGTTGATTTCAGCATATCAGATGATTGCAGAGAGCAGAGCGAGTGGGCTGCTGTCCTTCCTCCTGAGGACATTTGCCAGTGGTAACTTGAAGAAGTTTTCAGTACGCATGTGCTTCAGGAGCACATATAAAGAGGAAAAAATGGTTTGTGGATGTATGAGAGCAGAAGGAATGATAGGAAAGGGAAAAGGCTTGTTCTGTTACTTGTTATTTGAGAAATGATTAGATTTCACGTGTATTAAATCAGCATTTTTAAAAATATATACTCAGCTAATTAATGTTACTATTGCTGCATTCCAGCTCAAAAATGAGCATAGCACTAATGCAACATATGCAGAAAGAGAGGGGTTTGTGTTAGCTCTGAGGTCATGGTGTGTTTTTAATACACTTTTCCATGGGATTTGTGTTTTAACTGTTGGAACTTTCCCTACAAGCCATTGAAAGGCAGATGGTTAAAGAATATATATGAGTGGCAGTGACTCACAGGTCTGTAGAGAAGTTTTATACCTCACTCTTCAGGGGAACTAAGTATCCCAGACAGAAAGCTAGGTTCCTAAAGATTGATTGTGATGCTCTGTAGTACCATTAAAAACTCCTGTAGATGTTCCAGAGTTTTGACAGAACAAATGTAGAACAAATAGCTCATGGAACGGAATGTCTTCAGGAAAACCGCTGGCACAGGAAAGAGTGGAATATTAAACTGCTCTTGTGAAATTACAGAAATTTAAGTGGTTATACGTGTACTGCATAGTTTGGGCATACTTTTAAACTTACCTGTGGCACTGGAAGTTTTTATTAGAATTATTTCAGGCAAATAAGACTTTGCTCTGATTCCTTCACCTTTTATATGAACTGTTGGCCTAAGCTGTGTGTGACTGGGGACATTGGCAGAAACCAGGTAAGACAGAGAAACCTGAATTGAAGCTTTCCAGAATCAGTGAAGGAAAGAAAGGCCTAGAAAGGCACTTGTATTACCACTAGTTTCTCTCCATAAAAAAAACAAACAAAAACCATAGGTCTTGTCAGCAAAGCACTTGTGAACTATCAAAAGTTGCTTCCCAGGACTGGAGTGGCCAAGTCCAGCTTAAATGTTTCTGTCAACACATAAACCCAAAATTCAAATTTCTTAAACATCAGTGTAATTCTTGTGTCATACTGGGGCATGAATACTTATGAATTGAAACACCATCTTTTTCTTCCTTTAAATATACCCAAAGCTACTTGTTTATAGAGCTGAGACGCTCATTACTCAGCCTGCACCTTGGTAATGGAAATGCTTACCCTGATAAACAGGCTGTGGACTGACAGCCAGAGTGCTTGTTGTTCTTAATTGTGAATTTACCAGTTACTGCAGTGACCAGAAGTGCAGGAATGTAGGTCTTATTTCAGTTCCTGTCTTGCAGGTAAATTAAGTAGGAAGAGATGTTGCCTGAGGGATTCACTTCCTTTCAGAATTATTCTATGAGAAGTGGGATTTTCTTGGCTCAGAGAACAGTGGAAAACTCCTGCCTTAATGGCTAGGTCACAACTTAGAAGATGGGGAGTATCTGGCCTCCAGCACCCCTGTACAGCTGATGCTCTGGGGAATTTGCACTTCCAGTTTGACTGGACCTGGTCTAAAGGCTACAGGTTATTGTGGTGGTTATATTGAACTGCTTAAATATTAGTAACGCTTTTTTAGTTTAAGCAGGCAGTTAAAAAACATGTAGACAATCCTCCCTTGGGAAGGAAGAATGAAGTGCCAGAAAACATCAGAGAGAAATACTCTGAAAGATACTTCAGTAGGCATGAATGAAGTGTTTGTGCAGAGGGATCAGCCTTGGCTGAAAGAGCAGCACTCTATGACCGCAGTGCGGAGATCTTAGTGCTGTGGGTTGATTTCCTTCACCTGGGGATTCCTAGGCTCAGCATGCCTTTGTACATTCAGCTACAGAGGACATTCTCTTCAATTTCATGGAAAGATCATGTGCACAGATTCCTGAGTTTTGATTTCTTCTCTTTAAGATTATTACAGTCCTGCAATGTTGGGCCTGAAAACTGATCAGGAAGTCCTTGGAGAACTTGTGAAAATGAAAGTTCCAGCTGTGGCAGAGCTGATGGAAAGACATGGAGTCATGTGGACCCTAGTGGTGTCACGCTGGTTTATATGCTTGTTCATTGACATTCTTCCAGTGGAGGTAATTGGTAACATAAACCCTACACCCCTAATTATTTCATTTGTACTGCCTTACAATAATTGTTTACTGGAAATCAAGGCTAATGTGAATTCTCTTCTTTCCTGCAGACTGTGCTCCGAATATGGGATTGTTTATTCTATGAAGGGTCAAAAATCATCTTCCGTGTGGCCTTAACATTGATTAAGCAAAACCAAGCTTTTATTTTGGAAGCCACGAATTTCCCTGACATTTGTGATAAATTTAAGCAGATCACCAAAGGAACATTTGTAACAGAGTGTCACAGCTTCATGCAGGTAAATTCTCTGCAGCTTTTAGTCATTCCAAATTAGATATGTTTTTCACTGAGCAAAAGATGGATACAGTTAGGAGAAACATAGCTGCTAGGATTGTTTTTAAAAAAGCTTTATAATAAATACATTAATATATTAAATAATTTATATTTAATAATTATCACTTAATTAATATATTTAATAGTTACTATCTAATTCCATATATAGCAATCCATCCACATTATCTGTCATACGGGGAATTTTTTTTTTCCTTTTTACCAGTTAAGGCAGGAAGTCTGATGAGAAAATAGTATTAGTCCATTTTTCCAGTGAACTACGGATATTGATCCTATGCTTTTTCAGATGACTTGCAAATATGGTAGTGTTGAATAAGCATGAAGTGAATTTTAAGCTTGCACTGATAAATGTCTGTAGTGCCTGAACACACAGCAGTCTGTTTAGAACAAGATAGTAGCAGCAGTTCTCATTTCCAGACAAAAATCCATGAAGTTGAATGTGCTATGACAGTCTGCAATCTAAGAATTATTGTTTTAAATTATTAACACAGTGGGTGCCACATCAGTATAAAACATTAGATTCAGGGCTCATGGAAACATAAAAGGTGGTATCTCCAAAACAAGTAACAGGAGCACATCTGTCATAAATCACTTGGTCAACTCCACTATCATTATTTGCTCAGTGTGCACAAAACCATGTCCTGGATGGTGACGTTTGCCCCCCAAAGTGTTTCATGCTCCTGACACATCTCTGTGCATAGGTCAGTCACAGTAGGATGTCATTTATACTAACTTTCATTATTCATATAGAAGAAAAATGAGTGTAACTTACTGACACTTTTAAGTCTTTTAATTAAAGGAACAAGAAAAAAATCACAGGTACAGCTTTCATTTAGAAGGGAGATATATGAGAGGTTTTTCCATTGCATAAACAGTTCAGAATAAGAATTTTATTAAATGTTAACTGCCTTAAGAACACCTGTTCAGAGGCTGATGCTAACACTTGTCCTTGAAGGACTTCCCTCTCCCCTTTTTAAAGTGTTAAATTTTACACCAGCTATTTTTAGAAAATCACCCACCTTTTTTCATTTAGTTACTCAGTTTCAGTTTTGAAGGCAGTTAGATGAAGAATTTAGGTTAGGTTCTTCTGTAACTTTGAAACGTGTACTTTTGTACTTGGGTGTTTGTTGGCTTGGGTTTTTTTTAGCAGTACATGTATTAGTATGAGTAGAGGTGTCTTTATGCCTTCTCCCCCAGAAGAGAACCTTAGTTTTTAGTTTGAACGCTTCTCTACCAGAAAGGTGTCATGACTAGAGCTGTCATTTAACAGCTCCAGAGAACTGAGGTGCCCTTAACTGTAGCTTAAAGTGCATAAGCCTGTAGCTTTGCTTCACAGTTTTGTTTACTCAGAAGGTCTGGGTGAAGTAATGGAAACAACTGTGTATTGTTCTTGAACAACAAGTGTAAACAAAGGAAAAAAAGTAATTGAAGATGTGTGATGGAATTCAGAACACATCAAGTTCTTACATCCATATCCATGACACCCCTGGAAAGCCTGGTAGAGAAGAGGAGCAAAAGGTAGTGTCATGAGGGATTAAAACTGATTTTCTGCAGTAGGAAGACACTGGTTTCACCTCTGCCAGCATTGCACAAGTGCACCAGTGTTTTGTCACATTACCCAGGACAGTTTAATATGTTCTAAGTATGCCACTTTCCACCACCTGCTATCTAAAATAATCTCAACTGGACACACATTCAAACCAGATTTTCTGTTGCTGCTTTTGCGTCATTTACTGCACTTGTTATGAGCTGCAGGTTTAGTGTGTGTTTACAGCTCAGTAGCTGAAGATGTTACCCTGTTACAGGAAAGCCAAAGAGCACTGAGCAATTTTACAGTATGGACATTGAAGCAGGGATTTCACATCTAAGAGAATTATGTGAGAATTTTAGCATGCTGTCCAAGGCCAGCATTTTAACTAAGAATTTTCTTCTTTTGCCCTCAGAAAATATTCACCGATCCTGGAAGCTTATCCATGGCAACAATCAACAAACTCCGAGAGACTTGCAGGGAGAAGTTGCTTTCTCAGGGATAACGTGCCAGATGTGATCAGGTGGTCAGCTACTACAGCAATTGACACATTCCTCTATTTGCACTGATTAAAGCACACTTTAAGCTTTCCATTAATTAATTGACACTTGACCAATTTTTTCCTGCCTTTCAAGTGTGTTAACACTTGTACTGTATGTCAGATTTGATAACTGGAACTGGTGGTTCTGTTACTGTTTGTTGGTGGTGTGTTGTTTTTATTTTTTAAGGATTATGGTATCTTCAGACTAGAATGTGATCAATGTCAGGACCCTCCTTTAAAAAAAAAATAGTCCCAGGGAATTTTGTAATATTAAAAGCAAACAGATGTATAAAATTATGTATTACTGTGTTAACTGTGACACTGTTACCATTTGTACAAAATAAATTAATTTAAATTGTCAGAACCTGTTTCTTGGTGTAGGGAGTAAAATATGTGATCTGAGTCCTCACTGCCAGCCAGTGGCTGGAATACAAGCATCTTTTTCCTCACTGCTCTCACTTCAGGAACTCAAATACAGCAAAGTGCAGGGCAAGAGAACAGTCAGTGATCTTCACTAACAGTTGGTTTATGCTGTGTGAGATAGAGCAGCTGCAGTGCAATTCTCCGACACCTGTCCCTAAAAATTTGAGGAGAAACATTTGTAAAGATATCCACCAACAGACTTCTTTGACAGGGGAAGACACTGGGTAGTTCCAAAGTCTGTACTGGCACCGGGCCACTACCAGCCCTGCTGGGGCTAGAGGTCTGGGAATTGCTTTCTTGTCCAAACAGAGCCCTCTCGTGGCCAAATCCTCTCCTTCCAGCTGGGGAAAGGGAAAAAGAAAACTGGAGCACTTTCTGGGGTTTTATGGTCCCTGTGCAACAAACTACTGTGGAACACCTCACATTTTAACAGCACAATCCTTTTCAGACTTTACTCCACGCTCTCTTCATTCCTTGTGAAGCATGGCTTCCCCCTAGTCTGCAAATTGAGATTTTTTTTTCATTCTGTAGCAGGGGTGAAAAAAAAATCACCTTTTTCAGAGGAAGCAGAGGAGTGCTCTTCTAGACAACTAAAGACTGTTATTGTCTAACAATTCTCACTACCAATAACCACTGTCAACAATGATTCTGAGCTATCCTATCCTTAATGGTACCAGACATACACCTTTTTCCTCAAGTACTGAATATAAGGACAGTAGCAATAACATACTCCTGTATGTCAGCAGGTACTAGGAAACACTATTCACTACTAGCAAAATTGATAGCTTTAACATCACAGGACACTGGTCCAAAGTACAGCAGCCTTACTGCCCTGCATTAGGCTCTCTAGGTCAGAAGTGTTCTGTGCAGTGTTTTGGTGTGCCCCAGTTCCTGCCCTGTGGAGCTGGTACTGTTAACACCAAAGCCTTGCTGCAGAAGGGAGTCAGGGAAGCTTTAAACACCAAGGTTCACTTCCAGCATATAACAAGGCACACAGCCCTCAGCAGAGGTGTGTTTCCCACTTTGTGCTAAGAGGCCAACTTCAGAAACAAACATGAAATGTCATTTACAGAGTCTTTAGACTAAGAACCTCAGCAGCATTGTCAGAAAGTGAGGCTTAGCCAGGCAGACCGGTGTACCGACATGTTGCAGGAAGTGGCAGTCTGAAGCGTTAACTTCTCCAGGTCTCAGGTTACCACCAACCCATAGCTTTCCTTGTTTGCAAACACAAAGTGCAAATCGAACCTGATTCCAACACACACACACTGTGTCACAAAGAAAAAACTTAAGCACTTGTTTAACTCCACACTAAAGATTGTTTGAAGCTTCCCAAATATCACCAAACCATGACTTCAGCCCTCAATAAATGGTCAACAAATGGTTTTAAGAGTGATCAGCAATACTAAGAAATACAGAAAAAAAAGTGTCTTTATTAGCATTGTTACAGGCAATGCATACATAAGAACTGATCCTTAAAGTGTACAACCCCCCAGCCAAGTTTAAAGCAATAGAATCAGCAGATTGAGATCTATATTGTACACACATGTGCAGTAACAGGATCTCTCTGAACCTTCCAACAGAATAGACTGAAATCACTTTACAAAAAAAAGTAAATAAAAATAACACCCATTTTAAAAAAGTACCAGCTCCTAACGAGCTGGCATAGCATCAAAAATATCAAACAGGGGAGTTGTCCAATCATAAAGAGTTCCTGTAAGGTTTGAGTATTGCGTCATTCACACCCTGCATGTGCCAGGCATTGAGTTTAAAGCTTAGTAAAAAATACACACCTAAGAGACAAGGTGAAGTTCAGATTTTAGATTTCAATTTTGTCAGTTGTTACTAATCTTTTCAAATACATCATCAGTATACTTAACATCATTGCTCAGTGGCAGCGGTGCAAATAATGAACCTTTTCCCTTTGTTATGAGTTCTGAAATTGAGTCAGAATTGGCAACATCCCTCTCTGGAACCTGCAGCTGACATGATCTTACGCCAATTCAAAAAAAGCACCCTTAAAAACTTTTAGCTTGTTTCTAAGTGGGTAAATATTAAAACTAGTTAGCAAAATTAAACACCAGAATCTTCAGAAGTTATTTTTGTGCATAGTTAAATGCTGCAAGATGATTTCACATTTAATAAAGCAGACTTTAAAGAAGCAATTTGCAAGAAAAGATGTTGCCTTACAATATCAACCAGTTCAGGGGAAATGCAGGGGGATTTTTCCCCCCAGCTTCTTGCAATTGCTTTTCATCTATGCTGGATTTTAGTGCAAGTAATTAAATTGTTTGATATCCAGCATGGCTCCTCTTCCTGCCAATCAGGTAAGCAATCAAGACAATTAGAACAAGACCAGCAAGGGCTGCTCCAACTATTATAGGGATCAGCATGTTATTTTCATCCAGTTGACATTCTTCCACTGAAGAGAGAGAAGAAGATCCATGTTAGGTACCAGTACACCAACACATGGCTACATCCAGAACTTCAGCATTCTGCTCTCAAAACTGTCTCAGCTAGCTTGCCAACAATGAAAAGGAAGCCAAGTCCACTATGATTATTCAAGATGAAGTCTTTCTAGTACCAGCTGTATACACAATATGGAGATAATACTGATTGTTTCCTCCTCAAGAGCTGTTAGTTACACACAAATTTAGCCATCATAAACATCCATGTGCCCCTTTCCACAATCATTTTGCTTTCATCATAGTCACAAGGGTCAGGTTTGCCCCTTTCACACAACGGTCTGCACACAGTTTGGAGGGAAAGGTAGCAGCCCTCCTTAACTCTTCTCTGGACCGTCAGGAACAAGTCCAAGTTGTTTCAAAGCTTTTTACATACTTCTCACACTAGCCTCAACTCAGACATCTTAATCAGCCCCCACATCATCTGTAATGGGGCATGCAGAGACTAAGCATAGCACCCTCAAGCTGACATTTGACTACAGACTGTTATGTTTATATCAAAGTATACTTAACAAATCTTGGATTTAACAGGGGCTGCCAAATGCAAGCCTCTTACCTGGCCCAAATTTGTCTCCATCAATCTTGAAAATCTGGATCTGAACATTAAATACATTGACAAAGGCTTGGTCCGTGACCTGCAGATTCTCCTCAGAACTGCACTTGTAGGAGTTCCCTACTGAAGCTCTCAGCTCACTCATGTTGTTTTTTGATGCTTTAAATTCTGGATCTGTGTAAGAGAAAGTCTTATTATACTAATCTGAAGAGCAGGACCTGTAAGCTCCTAGATCTACAATTTGATACATTCATTCCCAACATTTCTCATACATTATTTAATGCAGGCCACCCTTAATATTTACAGAAGAAATCACAGAGAGTAAATTTCTTAGAAGTCCTTACTTTTTGCTTCAGAAGACAGGATCGTGCTTACATTCACACCTTCCAGGAAGAATTTTTCAGCACTTGCGTTCTTTAAAAAAAAACCAAAACAAACAAATCAGTAGCTGATGATGTACAACACAAGCTGTTCAGATGCCATTCTGCATGCATTTTGAGAAAGGTTTTTAAAATGTAGGCCACAAATGTGATTAGCATCCATAGGAGGTGTTTAGTTGGACTTTAGGAGAGAAAAGCAACATAAAGTATGCACCTTAAGGAAGAATATTTTGTGAGAGGGCAAAGAGACAGAGGAAAGAGACCTTGTTACCCCCAAATTGTTGACTTCCACACTGCAGGCATAGGCCCACTCATTGATTAAGCAGCCTACTTGCAGTGAACTAGGTACCCCACAGAGCTGCAGTTATTTAATAGCAACAGCTCAAGGTGATCAGCATTAAAAGCAGCATGAAGCTGTGACAAACAGTGGATTCAGTCCTTGAAGGTATGCAGCTTCAATACAGCACCTGTGGCAGAGCTGTGGGAAACAGGATTCCCAACCATCATAGGAGACAAGAAGACAAGCACACTTGGCCTTTGGGCAGTACACAGAATATTAATGAGGACTAAATCCAGCTCCAGGCTTAAAATTAGATGAGATGCCTGCTTGTCACAGGCTGCTCCCAGTTTCAGCAAGAAGCCTTAAACAGTAAACAACATAATCTTCAAGGAAGTTCCCACTCCAAACAAAATACTTTTCTGTGTACAAATATGTATGTGTGCATATACACATAAACATATTCTTTTCACACAGTGGCTACCAAGCATAAAAAACAAAATAAATCCTAGTATTAAAATCAAAGGAACTAGTTACTCCCCTTCCTGTAGCTTTTTTCCTCTTGCACTTGCCCCAGCTAGTTTTCCCCCATGGAAAGGGGGAAAGGACTTTTTCCTTTCTGCAGGACTACATACTTGGTGCAGAGATTCTTACCAATGCAAACTGGAAGATAACATTGGTTTTCTCAAAAGTCAGGTTCAACAAGGCAGATGTACTGTCGCATCTCCCAGAAGAAGTTGTATTACGTGGTATGAAATTCAGCAAATCCAAACCCATCTGAGAGAGAAGAGGAGCAATTATGACACTTGAAGACCCTGAGCACATCACCTTGCAGTCAGCTGAGGTGTAGCTGGCTTGTGTCTCATGCCTACAGTGTGGTGTTTTCTCTATGTTCCAGACACCACGGCAGATCCAGGCACAAATTTCAGACCTGTGCAGGCTGCACCTGCGTGACCAGGCTAACAGACAACTAAGGGCACATCTAACTCTTGGCTGCAGCCAAGAACCCACTGCTTTCTCCACACAAACTGCATTGGTCCTTGCAGTAGAATGAAAAACATCAAGAACCACCAAACTACACAGAGGGCAAGATGCTATAAAATACTGCTTTGACATGAAGTAGAAGCAATTAAGGGGACCACCTGTCAACAGAATCATCTTGCGTATCATTTCAGTTCAAAACGTTTTAGTTTTGTCCATGGTTCATGATTCTATACCATCTTGCATCTGCAGAAGGCTGTGGGTTAGAAACCCTTTCAGTAGCCCTTAGCTGAGCCTTATGTGACCAGAAAACCTATCTGCCACCTTCTCACTGGTCATTACACTAGAAATCAGCTGTTCCACTAGAAGCAGAACACCATAATCAGGTAATTTCACATGATTAAGGTGGCTAAAACACAGTTACCATCATAACAAGCTATTGTACAGCCACACACTAGCTATAAGGGCTTGTGATTTTGCCTTTCAGTTATCAACACCATAAATAAACGCAGTAGTTCCTTTTGAAACACCACTGTTTCCTACTGGAGGCATTCAACAGTGCCTTTGGGTTTGTCTATAGGGCTGGCATGTCAGGCTCTGCACCAACAGGAGGGAAAGAACCTGTAGCAGGGCTGGATCTTAAAAAAACCTTGTATTTTTCTTTTTTTAAACTATTAAAATCAGCTCTTAAGGAGCTTTTAAGCATCAAAGTCAAACCCAGATGTCTTCAGTGCTGGCTGGAAGGTAATTAAGTCACAAGCCTGTCCAGTTTTACAGTAGGAATTTTCTCTTCTGCTGGTCATTCACTCAATGCCTGCAGCCCAATTTCTGTATTTTATTTAACATTTTAAAAATCTTGTTTCAATTGCAACTTTGATAACAGGATTCCCCATCTCATACCTTGCTAATTTTTACTACTTCTCTTAAATGACCATATATACACTTTGTGGAGTCAACAGACAAGTTTTATACTGCTTTTAGTGAATGGAAAAATCCTTAAGAACCACTTTCAGTACAAGTGTTTGAAATGTCACTAGTCTAGACCAGGTTAAGCAATTCAAATAGAGAATAATGATGGATGAACATCAATAGCTGGGCTTTTTAAAGAAAAAGGTTAGCTTATAGTAATTTACCAAGTCTTCCCCACAGAAGAAATTTGAAGGCTTTAAAGAAGCAAAAATCAAAATGTACCTTTTCATCTTTTTTTTGATAGGTGATATTAAGCTGTAAGCCCATGTAGGCAAGTACACAGGTTCCATTTGGACCAGTCACATTGTATTTACCAACTGCAGGATTTGGGGGTGATGATGTTGGTGTTGGGTTAGTTGTTGGAACCTGGCTAGTGGTCTGTTTAGGAGTTGTTGGCACTACAGTAGTAGTGGAGACCTTATCTTCAGCACATTCTGTCTCTGCAGAGAAAAGAAAACAGTCACTACCAAACAAAATGAAGCTGTGGGATGAACTATATTTTTAATCATCGAGGGAAAGGAAGACACAATTTCAAGTAGCTTTTTTCCTAATAAAAGGTAATAAATGCTCAGAAACACAATGGCAAAGCATTACCTAAACTCTTGTTGCAAAGTTTCAGACCCTTTTAAAGCCTGGCACATGAAAAACCTCTGCTGGTAATTTACTGAAGTTCATGGTGACCACATCCACTTTCATTCATGACCATCATTTCTCTTTGCCATGGGGTCAGGATAAATCTGACAGGGCCAGCGTTCCTGCTGTCTGTTCACAGCCAGGCTGGGATCCCTGTAACTCTCTCTGGGCACTCGTGGGAAAAGCAGAGGAACAGTTCTCCTGCCCACTGCTCAAAGTGGTCTCCCAGGAGATGTGCTCTCCTTCCTCTCACTCTCATTATTCTGGCAATACCCAGAGCAGCCTTCAGATACTGCTGTGGCTCCTCTTGTCCTTAACAAGGGGATTCTGCTGTATTGTCTCACACCCATCCTCCCTTCAGCCCT